AAAAAAAAAGGGGGGGTGCTATTTACCTTGGTGATTTTGAGAATGAAGAAAAACATCTCAGGGCTTCCTACAGTTGTTGCTGACTTTTCTTTCCTCTCCAGTTGTTTTAATGCTTTCGCACATTTGCAGGGTCCTGCTTGTTTTGATAAATGTCTTCACAGTTCCCCAGGAACAGCTGCTGTCCTTTCCCACTGGGGCATTCTGGAAGGAGGTCCTGCAGCCCTGAGCCTCAACCCTGCACACTCAGTCTGGCCCAGGCTTGGCTCAGAAAAAAAGGCCAAGCCCTCAGGGTGGCATCCTCCACTCCTTTACTGGAGTCCCACAAAGCAGAAACTCCCACGTGACCAATCCTGCAAATTCCTCTTTCTCTCCTACCTTGATGAGGTGGGCAGGGCACGCCTTTCAGGGTCAGACAGAGCAAGGTTTTGCCTCCTACTGCCTGGGTGTCTTTGACTCACCTATCCTGTCTCTCTGAGTCACACCTCCCAGGACAGGTGAGAATGAAACAATACAATGTGCTTATCAGGGGCTCAACAAATGTCTGTGCCTTCCCTTCTCCTCTCCCCTCTCCTCGCTCTTGGGAATCACAGACAGAACTGGAAAGAACCCCAGAGAACATGCAGTCCAGCATCATTCTTTTCCCAAAGAGGGAGAACAGCTTGTCCACAGTCATACAGCACCTGAGTTTGAGACAGGACTTGGCCTCAGTTCAATGGTCCTCCCTTACAACCAAAGAACTCAACAGACACCTAGGGAGTGATCTGCTTCAGAGGTTAAAAACTCCTTACTGCTGATGGAGGGCCCAGGAACTGTCAATTAAGCATTCAGAGAAGTCAGTGCTAGTGTCAGTCAACTTGTGGATGGTTGGATGGTGTGAGAAGGCACTGTGGAAAACATTTTTGCATTTTCCACTGACATTGTTTCCCTGGGTTCTGAGAATTAACTTATTTTTATAGAGTCTAGAGAGTCTGGGATAAAAAGGCCCTCTTACAGTGCAATATGACAATGAGTGATATTTACGGAGCCCTTGCCTCTGAACGATTGCAACAGACTTGGCCCAACAGACGCTGGAGACAGTGGGTGCAAAACAATGTGGATTTTGCAACCACCCTTTGTGTCCTCTGTGGGAGCAGGGGTGTGGGAAAGGCTGGTGTTCCCTTGTACCGCCTCTTTCTCTCCTTTCCCTCAGGTGTACAGGGCAGGCACGATCACCTTGCAGAGGGCCTCGTTCTGCAGAGCCCACCAACATGACAACCCTTTCTCCTTTTGGATTCCATTAAACAAGCTTGAAATGCTGGGCAAATCTGGAACCATTCTTCTCTTGTCTGGGCCCTGGAATCCTGGTTGGGAACACGGAAGTTTGAACCTATGGGATGTCTTAGATCATCCCTGAGGCTTCCTCCAGTTTTGACTTTAAGAACTTCACTCAGAATTCTGGGCAGAGAAGCACCAGCCATCGTGGTCAGAAAGCAGTTGTGAATGTTCTTTATTCATATGTTACCTTTGCACAGTGTCTAACAGTCTGCAAGAGCATTTTCATCCACGGTGCAACGATTAACCCTGACAACCACCCTGTGAAGTATGCATTATTATCTGCTTGCTTTCAAAATAGAAAAGCTGAGCCTCAGAAAAGAGATGCAACTCGTCCAAGGGCACATACTGGGGAGTGGCAATGTAAAGATTCAAATCCAAGTGTATTCCCAAAGGTTATATTCAGTCCAGGACCCACCATTCCCCGGCTACCTCCAAATGTGGTTCCTTAATAGATGCCAGATCAACAGCACGGATGGGGGGATGCCCTGCAGGTAAAAGGCTCCTGAGCCACCGGAGGCATCTCAGGGGCAGGTGACCTGAAGCTATGAGGTTTGCACCCACCACGTAGATGCACAGTGAACTGGGGTGAAGCCAACGCCAACCCCTTCCTTCCTCATCAATTTAAAAAAGGTCACACCTTTTGCCTGTGCCACCAAGGAAGCAGAACATTCTAGTACTTTAGAGCTGAGAAAGCTAAGCCGCCTACCCTCTCTGTGTTCACATGGGGAGGCTGAGACCCAGAGAAGGAAATGGCTGTTTCCAGATCACCTGGCTTCCACTGTCAACTCTGCAGCTACAAGCCAGGTGAGGGAGCCTCTCTATCCTCCCCGTTTCCCACACTCACCCCAGGAGCTCAGAGCCTTGTGGGTCTCTTGAGCTTCAAGACAGAGCTGGCCAGAGGTCAGTGGACGGAGAAGGGAGCAACCCAGAGACTTTCCACAGCAACACAATGACGACTCGGCTTCAGAATCTCAGTGTCTGCACTTGGCTACAAATGGCCTAGGGCCAGCAGGCCCCAGGAAATCTTACCTCTGCTCCGCAGGGCTGTAGGTCTCCCCTCTCTGGCAGCTGCTCAGGGTGACGGGGTCAAAGTTGTCGAAGGAGCGGAGGGCCACCCCCGAGATGGCGACCAGGGGCGAACTGAAGCTCACACGTACAGCCTGGCTGTGGTAGAAGGGCTGGCTGAGGTCATGGACCACAGGGATAATCAGGGGATTGTTCCTGCAGCTCAGGACATGGAGGCCTGTCAGGGAGACAGAGGGGCCGAGGGGCCAGGCTCATTACTCAAGGCCAGTCACGCCCTCCCCCACGGGCCCTTCCCGAAGCCCCCAGACCCTTTCATGTCACTGCACAAAAGCACCATTGGGCAGCCAGAGGGGATTTTGAGTTTGATTGAAAGTTTCTTTGTCTGCCTTTTTTTCTTGGTTCCAAATCTTCCCAATCCCCCTGCCTCCCTGCCCCCTAAGCCTTCCCTTCACCTAGTGCCCACAGCCCCTCTTCCTCCTGCGAATGGCCACCCATCAGCCAAGCATCCCTGGGCCTTGACTCCCTCCCACAATGCCCTAGGGCTTGAGGTCTGAGCTGCTAGTTTTCCGCTGCTGGTTGGTCTGAAAGGTGATGGAAATAATTCACGGTAACCTGCCTTCCTGGAGTAAACCGTCCCCTGCCATCGGTAACCTGCAGACCTGGGAGCAGTCCTGGGAGTTAAGGACTTCTACACCCCCCGATCTGCAAAGCAGACCCACATGCTTGGGCAGGAGGGGCTCTCTGGACACAGCACAGCTGTGACCCAAAGCCCAGGTAGAATCCAAACCTGCCCTGCTCAGAAGTCCTCAAGACGTTTTAGCACAAGTCAGAAGGGACACCAGGTCCCCAGGTTTCAGGAAGGAAGTGGGAAGAGGGGCAGGAGAAAAGAGGTACCTAGAGAGAGATGGAGTCGGGTGGGGTTGGTGGCTGGTGGACCTGGATTCAAGTGCTGGTCTAGACACCCCCTGATCATGGGGCTCCAGCAAACTCCTTAAAACCCACCTCCACATCTGCAAAGGGGTATAACCCTGGCTGTGTCCTGGCAGCCTGTGGTGGTCCAGCAGGTGCCCTTTGTTCTACTTTCCTAGCTCTGGGAAGCCGCTGCTGGGGGATGCTGGGATACCGGGGACAGGAGAACACAGTGGGAAGGGCCAGGGAAGACAGAAGGCTCAGGCATCAGTAGGAGGATCCAAGGAGCTTCTGTGGAACCAAACCTCTTCCCACTCTGCCGAGAAACCTCTCCTCAGAGCTCTCTGCCATGCCAGGACAACTACAAAAATATTTGCTTCTCACTTAGGGAAATTTCCCAGAAATCCAGATACGTCCAGAGGGGTTTTCTTTCTCTTCCTTGTTTCCTTCTCTTTCCCTGGCCTTTAACACTAAATAAATAAACAAAGACAAAACAAAGCAAAACAAAATCTTCCCTGCTTCCTTGGCTTCTTTCTGACCCTGAAATGACCCCTGGTCCACTGGCTTCTTGCAGGTTTTTGAAATAAGCTCTCTGGAATGGTGTGGGCACAGCTTAGAGTCCAGGTTCCAGGGCTGGCCCAGGACTCTAAATGCTTGGAGGCCTACCCAGAGCTCTCCAGGGTAGACTGGCTATGAGGGAGTGCAACAGGATTGCTTGGTGCCCACAGGGAGTTCTTAGCACCAGCTCCAGTGCAGGGCCTGCTCACCGCAGTGTCCTGCAATAGCTTGCTCTGTCCGTAAGGTTTCTCTGTTCTTATTGTATATGAAGAAAGTGGGGTCTCTAAGAGAAGTCCTACAAGGTTGAGAAAACTGCTTCCTCTCTCCTCGTCAGTGAGTGGCGGAACAGGGTTCAAACCTTGCTGCCAGATCTGGAGTTGGGCCATTTCCCCTGACCGTGGCCCAAGCAGAGGGGAGGTACAAGTGACCACTCACTTGAACCTTGACCCAGGGCAGCTTCTCGGCAGGTAGGACCCCATTCCTCAACTGCCTCCCCACTTCTGAATCTGATAGGAAACTCTTTTATTCCTGCTCCCACGGGGATCTTCTCCGGAGGTTGTGCTGGGCATATGTCACCACGGGGAGGTCTCCCAGGCAATGATTAGGGGGTGAGCAGCAATGGGCTGGGATTCTGAAACCTGGTGACTCAGCCCCGACGTGATGTGTGACCTGCAATCCCTTGGTGCCTCTCTACGGATCTCAGGTGCTGACATGGGTGATGGGGAAATTTCCAGAGTCTTTGAGGATCACATGTGATGCCTAAGGTTTCCAACAAAGGGAAGCCACGGAAGGGAGGGCCTTGCCATTGACCCTTGTCCCCAGAGCAGCCACATCCAGGTTTCTCTGGACCTACAACTACATCTTGATGGGGGCCATGGCACACCCAATGGTGAAGAAGCAAGAAAGTGGAAAGCAGAAGGAAGAGGTCACTCCAAGCTGTGGTCCTCACAACCACCCCAGGACAGGTAGGAAGCAGGTATCGGGGGCAACCAAGCCCTGGGGAACAGGCTTGCCTAGATCGTGGCTCTGATCTTTGGTATCAAGCAGCTGCACGCTGATGGTCTCTTGTTTTTGGTCCCCATAATATGTCCCATCGGTCACCAGGTGGACAATGACAGCTGCAGCGACCATTGGCTGAGAGTAATACGCCTGAAATGGAGAAGACACAAGAAGGTCACTCGTGTGCTCAGGCATCGGGCAGGGAAGCAGCCACACTGGGGTGGGTTTGAGGAGAATCTCCATCCATGTCTGCAACTGGACTCTTCATTGGGGCCTCAGACAGAGAGCAGAAGGCAAACAACAAAACAGTGAGGAGCACTGGCTCTGAGGTCAGCTTTAGTCTTGGCTCTGCTCCTTCCAAGCTGTGTGACCTGAGTGGATAGCTGGGCCACTCTGGGCTCAAATTCCCTCATTCCTAGTTAATGGATTAAAAAACAAAAAACAAACAAACAAACAAAAAAAAAACACAGCTACATCACAGAGTCACTGAGATGCTACCAAGACCGTAGGAATAAAGTGTCTAGCACAGGACCTGGGACACAACCAAAACACACAAAACCATACCATGCTTATTACAATGCATTACTCATTCATGTCAGCCTCCATACTGGGCCACAAGGAGATCAAGTTAAATGAGACATGGCCCTTGCAATTCTGGGATCCATGATGTTTAAAGTAGGTCAGTGACATGTAAACCAACATCAATACAATCCACCAATCCACAGTCAGGAAGATTGCTACAGAGTGTCCTGCAGTGGATGTCATCCAACAAGTGACCAGACTCATGCAGAAGAAAGAAAATAGTCACTGCTGATTTCTGTGGAGATCAGTAAAGTCTTCATGGTAGAAAAGTTGACTTTAAAAGGTCTTGAATAACAAATAAAAAGTTTAGGCAGATAAAAGGTATCCAAATGCTTCTCCAGTGTAAAAGCTGAGTGAGGGTGTTCTATGAGCATTAATGGATTCCACTTCAGGAAGCACCCCAGTACCAATTGTTTCCTGTCTTATTAATTAATAGCCTCCTGGGTGGATGAGCTGTGTCCAGAAAGGCTCATCGTGAGGCTCAGGGCTTTCTGGGTGCCAGTGATGGAGATGTCAGGGCTCTCAAGACTCAGGCTTACCTGCAACCAGAAAGTGGTCTGAGCCAGCTGGGAGTAAGGATAGCTGATGGTGCAAGGGTACCAGGCATGCTGGGAGATTCCCTCACTGAGATCGATGACTTTGGTTCGACACACCTGGAAAAAGATAAAGAAGAAAAATAATGTTTTGAGGGTCTTGAAAGTTCAGTTTGATTCAATTTAACAACCCTTTACTATCCATCAATTTTGTTCTTGATTCTCCAAGAGAAAGCAGGGATATATATAGACAAGCATCTGCCCCAGGAGCTTATGTTCTGCTGTGAAACTATGGTGGTAGTGATATAATAGAAATCCTCACAGGAACAAATCTTGGAGGAGATGACTTCAAGTTGAGCTGGGAAAAGCATGGCAGACAGAAGGAACAGAAGCAAAGGTTCAGAGGAAAGTAAAAACCCAGAGTGCTTAGGTTGTAATAGGGTCTATTACTATAGCCTGGGGAGTATGGCAGACTGCACTGGGAGAGATTGATCTCAGAGTCTCAAATGCCAAGAAG